GTCTACAGTAATGGCCGATTTCTACCCCAGTAGATATTCTCATAGTAAGCTTTTCCCTGGGAATTCTGAAGTTGAAATGACGCCTCTTACATGGCCCTTTGTCTGTGATTCTCCCGTGGTTGTTGCATTTTGAAACTTTTCTCTGGTATCAATATCATTTTGAACTTAAATATTCGTATTTCAGCACTAAATCAAATAAAAAAGGACTAAAAATGAGGAGAGCCGTGTTAGTCTGTACATGATACAATCAGTGGAAAAGATGGGGTAGCACTTACATAGACTTACTTAACGTGAGCTTACGCAGTTTCTTATATTACGTTAGTCGTTAAAGTGCTACCCAATATTTTCCCCTAATCGTAAAAAGGGAATAACATTTTGGAGTGCCTTATGCATCATGGTATATTGAATGAGGCTTTGATACCCACTCTGATTTCTGATCCCCACAATACAGGCTCTTTCAGTTTTAGTAATTTTTTTTGCAACAGAATTCCTTTGATAACTATGAAACTGATATGTAATTACAAGAAATGTCTCTGAATTTCAAGCTCATCTGAATATGCCACTAATGAGAACTTTGTCAGCTAATGTTCTTTCATTCTCTGCCCAAATTTCAAACTAAATTCATATTTATGCTTGGCAGTTTGTTTATCATACATGAATAATTTAATAAATTATAAGATAATAAAGTATTCCTGAAATGGCTGTCCTTGTGTCACTTTCAAAATTCACGTTCATGTGGTACTGCAAAGTTTGACAATTTTACAGAAATTTGAAGTATTTCTGCCAACGTCTTTACAAATGTTAGTGTTTAATGAGCAAGCCAAAGCTTTTTTTTGAATACAGGAAACCTAGAGCACTCCTTTTGTTTGGGCTTGTAGAATTGTTACAAAGAACTTGCCTTACGATATCAACTGGTAAATTCTCAATTGAAGGATATTTGTAACCGCTCACTAAAAGTTCGAGTCAAACTAGATGCATAGAGTCAGCTTTCTGGTTTCCAATAAACTGAAATCCAGTACGTGTAACTGTAGGAAAACTTTGCTTTATACTAAATGCACGCATATTGATCAGAGGGAACCTAGACACAATGACTTTGCAGTTAGGATCATTCTTTGATCATTCTGTGGGGTTGCAGTGGAAGTCAACACTTCCTTCAGAACCTTTCAAACCTAGTGGCAACAAATTTTTAGAGTCCAGTTTTACCTTGTCGTGTGACCTTTGTCAACGAAGCTTGTCCATGGGCGTTTGGGCCGAATGAAGATCATCCAATCGCTTCATTCCTGTGGTAAAGATGTGACCAATATATCAGCTTCATTACATTTTCAAAACATGGCATGAAACTGTTTGGACCTGTAGGTATACTTTGGTACAACAGCTTGCTTTGTGAAAGAAAATCTTGTTAGGATGACCCACGACATTCCATCTCACAGCTGTGCACATCTAAAAGGGAAACTTCAGAAAGGCTGGAACTCCGCTTGATAACCAATTGATCCCTGGACTCTCAGAATAATCACTTTAACCCATGTACATATTGCAGAAACATTCTAATTTAGCTGAAAAAAAAAAGAAAGCAAAGTTTTCAAAACAAGTGGAAAGTACAGTGTTTCCCAACTGGAGAAGTATATGTAGTCTGTAGACCACTGAGTTTTGCTTATCTCTAACCAAGTTAAATATGTAGCCATCAAGTTTGGTAAGCTGAACACCAACTTCAAAGATTGGGTGCTGCATGTGCATTCTGGGATATTTCATCTTGAGGTTGGTTCATACTTTTGGACATGAACGTAAAGTTGCCACTTCAGATCAAGCATTTTGTTCTGTGAACTTGCCAAAGTTAAACACAAATCAAGCAAACTTTGCTTCCCCTGATTCCTGACGTCAAATTTGGTTCGCTTTCACTATCACATAAACTATAACCTTGCTTTTAAGCAACACAATCTTGAAAGAAAGAGCTGGCTGTGAACGTCCAAGTTCACTTCAAATTTTTGAGAACAATAAACATGTACCTCCAAGATGGCCAAAATTGCACTTTACCTGAAGTTCAAAACTCTTGTTGAAAGGGTCCCTTAAATGGGCCCTGAACCAAACACTTTTAAGACTTCTCCCTCCCATTTCAATATTTTATTAGTCCAAAACAAGTTTAACATTTAGACTTTGGAGAACACTCACCGTATTTATCAATATCGTCTCTTCAGCTCTAACAACAAAACCCCGGGCAGAAGTCTCTGGCATCCAGCAGGGCCAGTGTCCCCTCTGATCAGACGGAGTCTGAACAAGGTGTGAACAAGGTGTAATCTTCATCGCTCTATCAAAAAAGTGGCCTGTTTATGCAGGAACAAAGAGCAATGGGCATTAATCATGAAATCAATATGTGCTCGGCCTGACTTCCATGTAAACGTGCCTTCAAGACCGGCTCAAGAGAATGGACTATTGCCCAAGTTACAGGCAAGGGCAGGACTTACGCAACGGGCATTATCACTTCTCAGCGGGCATTATCAAATGTTAATACATGGTCACATGACGTATTTCGACCAACAAGAATAGAAAAACGGTCGCAAGTATTTATGAATTGAAGATTGCAAAATGAATGACAAACACAACAAATACGCGGGGGGACATTCATCTGTGAAATGCTCCAGTTCACACGGACACCTGAAAGGTACCTGTTAAAATATGCGCGCATTCGTACAATGCTTTGCAAATGGGAACGACCCTTTGAAATGGCAGTCACTGTATCCTCAATTCTCTTTTTTTTTTTTACATTTTGTTAATACACATATGGAAAAACACGAAATGTTCCTTGAAAAAATTATTATGAAACGAAACTTTCCAACGTTTTTGAGGTTTGTTGTTTATGTAGTATTCCATTCAAAATAGTTGTTGAGCTCCCAAATTAAAATTATGAACTTGTTTTCTGTACACTCTTCCAAAGAGATTAACAGTAACTTGATTAAATAGGCAGTTTTCATGTTCAAGTTGATCAAAATGAGGAAGCCTGTATTTTCCTACATAAAGAATTTCCCGTCAAAGCAAAAAGCCTGATGTGCTCGAGAGTTGAGCAAAATTGAGAAGTTTGAAGTTTCCCACATGCACTAAAGTGTCTTTGTTTATATCATTAGCAACCTTTTCAAAAAATGTACACCAACTGAAATTTTACCTTTATTTGTATTAGGATCACACTGCAAAAGTTGTACTGATAAAAATGAGACGTCTATTTTCTTTGTTCCTGTTGAAATTGGATAAAAATACCTCTCTACCTGATTTTCGATGAAAAGTTCAGAAACAAAATTCTTTGAAAATATTCAAATGGCGGATGTAGTTTGAGGCACGCTCAGAAGACAAACAGGACTGTTTTTACCAATTTCACAAAATTTCCTTATATTTACATTTCTGGTGAAGACAAGGGACTTGCTCAGAAAACTCCAGAACCAGGACCGTCTCCATGACGATGGAAGATATTGCTGTCTGTCACATGGTTTACCTACAACAATGCAAGCGAGTTGAAACATATCAATGAAGTGACCAAAGAATTTTTTCCTCAAACAAGTAAAAACAATCTTTTAATTCACGTCCCCATCGTTTCAACAGACTCTTCAATGTTTGTCTATCATAAAACTGTCATTTTTTTAATCACTGTATGTGATAAACTATGGGAAAAAAAAGCTTTAAAAAATTGATTACCAGTACAAATTTATCTGACAGGCAGTGTAGCAGCCCAAAACTGCTGCAACAAACAACAGCTTCTGGGTACAGTCTAGACCCATAAGCAGGGCTTGACGTATACTCTTTCGCCATATACTGTATATGACTAAGGAGTATACATGTACATCCGGCCATGTTTACGGGTCTCGGTACAGTCCGTCATTTGTGCATTATGTTTCTTTGAAGTACCAAAATCTAAAGAAGGGTGTCTGAGAACAAGCCTGACGAAGTTTCAGCTCAGTGAACACTGCATATTTTGAGAAAACCAATATTCCAGGATGTCCAACATCTCACAAGGCGGACGTTGAACCCTACAGTTCTACGAGTAGTACACCACTGAGTGACACTTCAATCCTGGCCAAATCCCGTTGGGTTCCCCACCCTCAAGCCCCCTCTCAATGTTGGGTCTGTATGCATGGTCTCCGCTCCAGCCTGAGATGACAACATTGACCGGAGGAGTGAGGGACCTGGAAAGGGTGTGGCTATTGACACATGTCCCAATAATTTGGTCCAGGACTGTAGCCCAAGCTTCCTGGAGAGCATCTTATCATCACCGTCAATAACATGCCATGCAGTCTATGAGCAGATGAGGTGTTCAGAGATGCAGTTGGAGAAGCAATCCTACATATCTAATACACGGACTGAGCGATAAGATACTACATGTACCAATGGGCTCTTCCAAAACTTGGGCAGCTGTTTAGAAATGTCTTGACATGGAACAGCCATCGAGACGATGAGGGGTCAAGTGACCTTATTTTAAAGATGGCGACTGTGAGAGCGAGCGAGCTTGTGAGATTAAATGGGTGAAGGCAAAAAGACTGGAAAATACCAGAACAACGTGAGTGAAATCATTCAATAAATGGCGCTAAGAAAGCGGAGAGGCTAAGGATCATCTCTGTGTGCAAAGGAAATTGCGCCCATGATGATAAGTGGGTGCACCAAAAATGTTCAGTACGCTGACACAAAATTGCATATCTGGATGTGTGGCTAAGGATGGATCGGGAGTGAGAGTCCGTGCCACACTAGTGGGGCCACCATCCTACATGTACCAACCAGTGGTGACTTCATGGTTTCTTTTTACTTGCATTTCATGACTTAGTTTCTTCTTAGCACTGAGCTGTGGTTACTGCACATGCACATCAAGTTTCCTTAGCATTATATCCAGACTTATGGACCCTGCCGAGTGTAAAAATAGAACCAGAACTTGCAGAAGTCTGGAAGTAAGAAGTGCACTTAGAATTGAAACTTTGATTTGAACGGCTAACCATCATTAAAAGACTTAGGCATGTAAGGCCTAATTTCTGTAACGGGTGAGGATGACTTCAGATGGAGCTCTTTCTTTTCCAACTCCCCATGAACCAACAAAACCAGTGGTGCAAAGAATATGGAAGAAAACTTACCTTTTGGCTAATTTCTCCAAGACTTCAGTACATACGTCAATCTCTCTTCCGATAACGTCGGCCAGTCAATTCATAACTACCGCCATCTGTTGAAAAAAGAACAGCGCCCTCTATTGACTCGAATAAAGATCGTTGACAGGATTGTGCTACAGACCATAATAACTCCATCTAAAACAAACATCAATGATTCAGGCGAAACTTGCTTAGGTGTCATCCCGGGGGTAGGGGGGTTTATATCCCCACCTTTTGAAGGGGGGGGGGGTTGGGCTATTGAATCATCCCCCACACTTTTTGTGATAAGCATAACAATTAAAGCGGATTGTGACAAATTGTTAGGATTTCCCAACACACACGTTTGCTACACGCCAAAACGGGAAAACAATTTTAAAAAGCCATACGTACACCATTCTGATGTAGGACTCTTCATGAATTAGGTACATGTTACAGATGTACATCCCCCGCCCACTTTTCAAATTTCTATTGCCGGGCAAGTCATCAAACACCCTCCCCCCCAATTTCCAGCGAACAGATTTACCCCCACTGGCTTGAATACATTGCGGTCATATCGTATTGAAAACACACACAAGCACTTCAAAATCAGCGCAGTCCTGATAACCAGCTGCAGGTCGCTGTTTTCTTTAAGCAATAATTATTCTTCCTGATTACTGATCTCACTGTTTACCGTTGAATTCCTTTGAACAACCAAATAAACGCGTCAGAAATGCCTTCTATTAACTTAAAGGTCCATTCTGCTCTTGCAACTGTTTTGCAGAACAAAATTTGAACAAAGCTTGAGTAAGATTTTCATAGACACTTTGATTCCTGACAACATTCCTTAGATAAGATTTGGCTTTGCTACAAAAAAGTACAAATCCCCAGTTTGTTTGAGGAAGTTTATTAAGCAGCAACAGTCAGCTGCCGACAGCAAGGAATTAATGGGCAAAGAACACCATATATCAGTGTAGAAACTGAATTTGTTTGTGTCAGAACCAACTACATAATTTTTGATGTACCTAGATCTTTGTGCTGTGAGCATGGAGGAAGGAAATACCAACTGCACTCTACATAAAACACTTCCTGAACTGGTTCAAGAGTTCAGGGCCCAGTTCGTTCGAGACATCCCCATGCTTTGTAACAGGCGTACACAATTACTGCAATGTTTTCAGAAATTTTAAGTTCAATTTTTGAACCCTTTTGATTGATTCATAAGGGAGCACGTTGTTCAGAAGACCTGCATTTGAGCTCGTAGGTCGCATTCTTGCTTCATGTCAAAACCATTAAGCTGTTACGTAGATTGCTTTGCAACCTTTTGTTTCGAGATGAAAGTGGTCACTGGTCTTGTTCCATTACACCCACACTCTAACAGTAGCGGTGGCAGTGAAGTGCACAATCCGCGCAAACGTACACTGCGTGATACGTCACTCTTCTTTTCACCAATCAGAGTTAGTCACCAAACATGTCGGTGAGTGTGATAGACAGATTTGCGCGTGTCAATCAGAAACCACGTGAACTTACATGATCCTCCAATAAGACTCGGTCATTTTACAGCGTCGGTGATGGCAGTTGTATCTGCGCATAGTCCGAAGTGCATGTAAGCATACATTAACATAACTTCCGCTCATTGGACATGACTGAGTATCGGTGATCTGTGTGAGTGACAGCGCCAGGCCAATCATGAACCGAGCAAGTTTTACCAGTCGCTTCTCAGAAAATGGCTCTCAAATACAAATTTGGTAAGGGCGGCCGCTTCACTCCTATAAGAATGACCGCCACTCATCTTGAACTTCACACGTCGTCCTGAGAGAATTGGCTGCCAGCAAGAGATCACCAAGTGAGTATTCAACATTTCAAAACAAACCTTTCTTAAATAATTCCCACAATCTGAAAACTTCCTCTCAAATTTAATAAACTTTGTTTTGCCTCATATTTTGAATACTTTACATGACCGGTTGAATCAGCGAGCGATTAAGATTCTGTTGAATATTGCTGAAAGAATCGTAATACCCAATGCGATGGTGTAGTTGACATTCTTTCTGCCCTTCATTGCGATGGAAGGCTTTATACAGTCTCGAGTTTTTGTTTTTACACAAAGCTCTTCATTTTTACAACAATCCACGACTGCAAAGGTCAAACAAGATCTATATGATTTCCACCCGTCACTTTCGTTCTTCTATTTCCATTTTCTAAATTTTAGAAGCGAACTTGAAGTTCTAATAGCAATTTATACGATGTTCTTTTCCCTTTTTGTGCACTTAACTGCATTAAACAAAGAGCGACGGGCAGATGTGTTGATTATGGAAGGATTTCGCAGAGGATAAATCAAGCTTTGTGTTTTATACTACGTCATTTTTGTACCACCTTTGCGCGATATTTGCCTAACAATTCCTGCTGTTGGTTTCGAAAATAGTCTACAATAAAAATGGCTTATTTTTAATTTGAAGTGAACCCACGTTGTCGCCAAATCATTTGTGAACGCAGTATGTTGTGTCTCTAAAGGGGGTAAAACGTTTCCAAGAATTCAATTTGGCTGGGATGACAGTTTTGTCCCAATTTTGTACCTACCCGCCCTTTAGTTATCACCTGATTTGCGTCTTTTCCCCACAGGTTACATCTGGGCCTAATCTCCATGCACTGAGATTTCTGCTTGAACCTAGTCATCAAAGACACAAATCTTCAAGGTGAGTGTCTTTATGATCATCTTAACATTCCACAAAGTTATTACTCTCGGTTTTGCACATGGTGTTATTTTCCTTAAGATTACTTCTGTGACTGTACAAAAAAAAGAGTCAATCCCCAACTATTTCTTTATATCAGTAAGTGTTGTCATTTCATTCCTCCAGACTGGGCCGTTGATTTATAGTGTATTCCACTCTGAAAACAACCCCAAAAATATTTGTTAGGCAATAATGCTTTACGGTGACATTCCAGCGCCCCTATCACCATTTCCCAAGTTAACGTCTTACAGTCGGTTCATACTTCGGACAAACGCAAAGCAAATCTATTTTACTCCCAGAAACATTACTTGAAATTCACTTGAACTGAGATGTGTTCAATTACCGAACACTCGCTGCTCGAATATTTTCATCTGACATTACAATTGTGCGTTCGTGTTCGCCTTTGTACGAAATCTACTTCCTGCTGGGGATTCCGGATCCGGACACGTATGTTTTATATGCGTAGCCGGGGTCTCCGAACTCGGACAAAGGAACAGGGCCTTGTAACAAAAGACCAGGCTGCTGGGAATTACCAACATTTTTCACTCTCAAAAGTGGAGATAATCCACCTTGTTTCGAAACAGTATACCACAGTTTTCGGCATTGAGAGCGAGCGGATTACCACCGGGACAAAATTAAGCGCTCTACCACCGCAGCCATGAGCCACACAGCACCGCTGCACGCTAATCTGGCCCCTATTTTTGTAGGAGCAGAAAAGTGGAAAAGTCGAAAATAGCCTGTTACAAAGACGTAAAATCGGCTTTTCTACTATTCGGATAGCAGAAAAGCAGATGGTCATTTTTCGTCCTCCATACATAGTCTATGCATTGACTATCAGGCCCGTAAGTGACTTCCTCATACATGCGCACACACCATTCATTGGCTAAAAGGAGCCACTGGCGATAAGTCACCGTTTCAGTGCCAGTTCGTCTTTAATGGGCATGGCCTAACTTGAAATGACGTCACACTTACGAACCAGATTCCTCTGCCGTATAGGCCTGAAAGAATGGAACAAAATAATGTCCTTTGAGAAACATGTCTTCAGCATAAGTAAGTTGTGAAAAGATAAAGGCTATGATGGCACCCGTTGTTTGGAGGAAAGCATCGAGGGGTCTAAGCGTGGCGGACAATGTGTGGCGATATATGAAGTGGGTAATTTAAGATTTTACCCAAACCAAATAGCGCCCTCCTTTTGTGTACGTCGTAGGTAATTGGTAATATCTGCAAGACAATCGAAATTTTTTTAAATAATGTACTTTGCGCCCAGGAGATTGAAGTCCAGGAGATGGAAAGTTTTCGAAGTTAGTTTCGCCTAGCTTACACCGCGCAGACGTATATTCATAACACTGTACGCTCAGTGTTTGTCCGACAGTTTTCAAAACATTTACAAGCTTATATTTGGGTATTCGACCCACTCGCCCCCCCCCGAAATCAGTGTTATTATTTTATTTACGTCTACTTCCCTTTCTTTTTTCTCATTTTCTTTTTTTACAGATGTCAGTCTGTTTTGGGATTATCCTTTCGATCGCCATCCTTCTAGGTAACTCTTTCAAGCTCCGAGCTGCCATTACTGGGCCAGCTCCTTCGGACGGTGATGGGCCTGGGTCTCAGGCGTGTCCAATGTGCTGCCAACAGGGACCTGCTGGAACACCCGGCATACCAGGCCTGCCCGGAAGCCAAGGCCTGTACGGCCCTGCTGGGTCAAAGGGCGATGCGGGTGAGCCAGGTCTAAAGGGTGAGATGGGTCCAATTGGCGCCGTGGGTGAACGGGGAGCACCCGGGACCCCTGGGTCGAAAGGGGATGACGGGATGAGCCTGCCTGGAAAGATAGGTCCCAGAGGTCCACCTGGTCTAGTTGGCCCAACCGGGGAATCTGGTGTCAAAGGTCAAAAGGGTGAACCGGGGGAGATTCCAGAAAACTCCAACCAGCGGGCGGCATTCACCGTAAAGACGAGGTCATCAACGCCATCGGATGCCCCTACGGGTCACACCTACCGTTTGCCCTTCCAGGAGACCGAGACGCTTCTGCCGGGTACCAGCTTTGATCTGGAGACTGGTACATTCACATGTAACACGCCGGGCACTTACGTGTTCATGTTTTCCGTATGCAGCGTTTCCTCGAGCGGCGTTACGATTCATCTTTGGAAAAACAGCAACGTGGTCGTCACCGGCGCGAGCAGTGATTCAAGTCACCACGAACAGGTGTCTGGGAGCGCCGTGGTGGTTCTGCAGCAAGGAGACTCGGTGTATTTGACTATGCACGGTAGGGCGCACAGTAGTGACAATTCCCACACCTCATTCAGCGGGTTTCTTCTTTTTGCCGAATAAACAAAATGAATCCACTATTAAAAGGTAAAATGCACACAATTCAAAGTTATTAAATACTCTACCTTGGCGACTGCACCGATACGAAACCTTTTATCCGTAAATTTAACCAAAATTGGATCTTTAACTGCACTTTAATACACGATTCCAATGTTGTTGAATTGGTAGCACCCAAATATCTTTTTCGCAAAGATTCTGAAACAATTCTGAGGCTTCCAGATGACACCAGTTACCTCAAATATGATAAAAAAAAGTCCTGTACAGTTTCTGCAAAATTGATCCTCGCGATACTTAATGGGATGTGACCGTCGCCTGCTCAGGGGAGTTCAATGTTTTAAAGAGGAATTTCGTTCTCTTTTTGATCGGGGGACGGCGTTCTTGCATCTGCGTAATAGCCCAGATACAAATCATTTTGGCCAGACGTCGTCCGGTGCCTTATCATTTAATAGTTCTTCGTGTGGATGTATTATCAAACACTTTATCATGTTTGACTGTATTATTTGAGTCGCCCCATACTTGTCAGCAACACAGTTTTGTCTGTTATCCATCTTTCAAACAAGAGGCTTATCTGGCGAGGAACCGGGCAGGAAGACATCTGAGACAATTGTTCAGAGACTGGAATCATCAACACATTAAAAATGATACCATAACATTCTGTTGCGGAGTTAGATTTCTTTTACGGGTGAACACAAATTTGGAAGACGCATTTTAACATCCTTCTGCTTTGTGCTGCTTGGAGCAAGCGAGTGTGGTAACAAATTTACATTGAAGACAAAAGTGATGTGGTTAGATGACAGATCTTTGAAAACAAAGCAGTGTCCATTGCATGAAATGAGTACATATAGTTGAATCAAATAATGCAAAACTTAACAAAATTTTAAAAATCAACTTGTAAAAAATGCTCTGATAGAATCAATTTGTAAAAAAATGCACCGCTATTCTATCAGAGCATTTTTTTACAAGTTGATTTTTTTTAAAATTTGGTCAGTTTTGCATTAATTCAATTCAACAATGTGCAACCAAAGATCTAATTGTCAACAAACCAAATTACTTTTTGTTTTCAATGTAAAACTTGTTAGGCCGATTGATTAATATATCGCAGTTGTATATCAAGACTATTGTTAAAGTATGCTTTTCCAAAGAGAACTGTTTCACAAATGCCTAGATAGGTATTAATTTTTATTTTATGATTCTGTATTATGCATGACAATACCTAAAACTTACTTATGTAAGAAAACCTTGTTTAAAACGGATTTAAGTGCGATAATTGTTTCTAGAAAAAATGCAACAATTGGCACTTTTCATCTTTAAATTGCTTCTGCAAAATAGCAGAATTTCGTTTTGATTAACCCTCCTATGTGGAAGTCACTCTTTGGGTCACTTGGTAAATACCTCAAAGAAGCACAGCTGTGTTGTGTTGTGCACTGCACCAAGAGTCCCTCACAGGAATATCAGATTGCACTTTTGTGCTGCCCAAC